TAAAGCACGGTGGAAGCCCTCACATTTAAAGCAATCATGCCTAAAAGAACAGCCCATACAGTCACCACCCCTATGGAAAGTAAAACAAAAACCCGTTGGTACTCTTAAGATTTGCCATAAGCTTTCCAGTGCCTGCAGGGGTTTGCACCCTCTTGACACTGACCCGGCTCTGCGAGTGGAGCCAAAGCTCCCAGTGAATGGTACCCCATGGAAGGGAAGTACCAGGCGTCTGCCTTAAAAAGTGGAAATTTTCATCGTAAAANATTATCTTCACAATAACGAACAAATTTGTCAAAAGCCAACATCACGCCATTGTAGGCTTTTCTGAATCGTTTCTCGTCGTCGCTGGCATCGGCAGGGGCGTCTGAGACAGAGTGTGCAATTCTCGTTCTAATTTTTTTCCAAATCAGTGTGTTTGGCTCGCTCGTCTACACAAGTCACGACTTCGTCTAGAACCACACAGGCATGGGCAGGGTACTCTTCCAAGTCTTTGGTCACTCCCAGCAGTTTGGCAGAATCTTTAATCACTCGAAGGTAATTTGTGAAAGCGTCAAACACTCCAGTTTGCGCTTGTTTTATTTCTGATGTTGGAGCTTCTCGTATTCCTACCAAGTCTTTCATGGTGTTTAAGTTATAGTCTAAATCTCCTGTAGTTGCATCTACTCTCAATCGTAAAGCATACAAACAATTTCACAAGCTGCAGACCAAGGGCGAGTATGAATAGAGGAAGGCATCGTTCTGTCTCGTGTGCAGTCTAGGTATCAAATGGTAAAAAAGTGTAGGTAGCAGTAGTGTTTTATAAAAACGAACTGTCAATCACTTTTTTGGCGTGGTTTCTTGATCCGTGAATAGTACACGTTTCTTACAAGAGGATATGTCATTCTCGTAATGATATCGCACAATCCAAGAGTGCTTGCATTACCTTACTGCGTAATTCCCAGGTTCTTCCATCCTAATCGTTCTCGTCGGGTGCAAAGTCGATTAAGTACTTTTCTGCATCTCGAATCACTCTTCTCAAGGAATCGTCGTCAGAGTGAAACTCCATGACATCTAGCAACTCATCCATCGCTAACACGCCAAGTATAGGGTTCGTTTCCAAAGTAGGGTTCATGGTGAATGATACATATGTCATTCCAGTGCCAGTGGATAGATAAGAAAATTACACAGTAGATAGGGTCGCGTCTCTTTTAGGTAGCGTCGCGTCCCTTTTAGGTAGCGTCGCGTCTCTTTTGGGTAGCGTCGCGTCGCGTCTCTTTTAGGTAGCATCGCGTCCCTGTTAAATAGCGTCGCTATGTATTAAGCTACAACGGTTTCACCACTTTACACAGTCTAGAAGCAGCAGTTCAGATGTGTAGGATGGAAACACCAGCGAAGAAACCTACCAAAGGAGTCAAAGGTAAGAGAAATCATCCCTAGAGCAAAAAGAAGTTTTGCCAGAAGTTAAGAAAGAAGGACTACCGGAATTCAAGAAAGAATGGAGGAAGAATCATCCTGGTCCCGTCATGATAGATGGAGTGCATTCTAAGAATGAAGAGCCAAAGAAAAACTGGGTAAAGAACAAAAATGTTAAAAACCTTTCCTTGGATTTGAATTCCCAAGTGCCAGTCATGCAGACCCCTATTACAGTAATCCATCCCTCGGAGTACCCAAACCCGGATTTGACATCAGAACAGCCGTTGAGACAGCTCGCTAATTTGGTAGATTCGATTAAGCCAGAGTATTTGCAAGAGGGTCCCCAGGTACAGCCACAAGATCCACCAGTGCAAGTGAATGTCGTGGAGGAAGGAGAGATATCAGAAGCAGGTAATTTTCAATATGGTATTTTGGAGGAATTACTGGCCGATGTAGGAGTGTGGTACCCATGCCCCATTCATAACGTGGGAATGAATGAAGTACATTCCCACAAGGAATGGATACAAAGCGTGTACCTCACCTGTCCCATCGACAATTGCCCAGTCTTCATGGATCTGAAGGATTTCAGTACCTACAACGACCAATGTCGCAGGCAGGGGCACGAGTGGATTACCCTCGACAAGATTGCTGTTATGAAGTGCGAGTGCGGTGAGACTCCTACATTGGGCATGTCGAAGACCGACAAAAATTTTAATCAGTTGTACCTACGATGTAGTAGGAATTATTGGGAATTATTTCAGAGGTGGCGATTCCTCCCCAAAGAAAGAAACATGGCGATTCTCACCCGTTAATTGTATTTCTTTGTGTAGACTCTGTGACTCAGGACACCACTGAAGTCCAAGATATTATCACCATCAATGTGCAAGTAGGACATGTGTTACAAGACTTGACTTGAATTATTTTTTGTCAACACGTGTGTAAGCAGTTTGTTTGTTTGATTATTTTTCATAGATCGTCAAGAGGGACTAGAAATAGCTTATGCCATGGGTAACGCGACTAAGCTGGAAGAGCATGCTAAGGAAGACATCTTTGAAATAGCACAGTTGATAGGATTTTCCAAGTTTAAGAAAGTATCCAGTAGATTAAA